TTGTCTAGCAACCTCAACAACCACTTCAATCACATTATCAATTTCATCAAACTCTGGCACCGATTTCGCCTGAATTTCATTGATAAAAAAATTTACACAATAATTATGGTTGAGTTTTTTTCCCGCTCAAACAGAAAACGAAATCGAACGAAACATTTGAAAATCGCGTAACTCTGAGTTCTCGAAAGTCGATGTATTACTGCATTTTAGAATCTTTAGTTCATCTAGAACAGCCCTCATAAGTTTGTAGAACTTCATAGACTACTAAATGCATAATTTTATATTCAGACCACTAAAATTAGTTTAAAAAAAAGAAACGGTAACTAACTACATTTATACACTCTGTCGCAAAAAAATATATGCACCCAGAAGAAATTGAGCTACATTCACGAAATTTGGTATGCATGTAGTGTATATGAAAATAAACAAATGATTAAAAATTCAGAACAAAATATCATTTTATTAAGCGGTTACAGCTTGCAAAAGGTTAAAAATCAGTAAGTAGTAAAGCCACCTCTGGCAGCTATACAAGCCGAAATTCGGCGTGGCATCGATTCAATTAAATCACTTATGACACCCTGTGGAAGATCCTGCCATAGTCTTTGCATCTGCGCAGTTAATTCTCCTGTATCTCGGGACGGCTGCAGTTGCCTTCCCAGCGCGTCCAGACATGCTCTATTGGCGAAAGATCTGGTGACCTGGCAGGCCATGGTAGGACGTCATATCCTTGAAGACATTGTTGGGAGAGTCGCGCAGTATGTGGACGAGCATTATCCTGTTGATAAATGGCACCTGGGCGACTTGATAGCATAGGTAGCACAATCGGCGTTAAAATATCGTCCACGTATCTGCGAGCTGTCAAAGTGCCTTGAAGGACCACTAAAGATGATCGTGTGTCCCAAGAAATTGCTCCCCACACTGTCACACCTTGTGAAATTGCTGTATGCCGCTCGACAATAAATGCCGGATCGGACCGCTGGCCGGTGCGCCTCCAGACACGTGTGCGGTGGTCATCAGCACGGAGACTGAATCGGGATTCATCACTGAAGATGACACGTCTCCAGTCTGTCACACTCCAAGTTGCCCGAGGTCGGCAAAATCCAGTCGACACTGCCTATGATGTGGGGTCAGTGGTAAGCGTCTTAGCGGACGTCGGCTCCTCAAGCCAACTTCGGTCAGTCGTCTCCTTATGGTTTCTCTTGATGGCACTGGATGTCTGGAAGGAGGTAAGTGGCGTTGAATCGATGCTGACGCGACGTTGTTGGTGCCGAAGTGGCCACTCTTTTGATTTCACGATCCTCGCGATCATTTGTGTTCCTGGGACGTCCTGACCCTCCGCGACGGTACACTCTACCTTCTGTGATCCACTGTTGCCAACACCGAGCAACTACCATATCGCTCCGACCGAGGGGGCGGCCGATACGTCTATTCGACCAACCTGCTTCTCTGAGGCCTATTATACGGCCCCTATCAAAGTCCGTCAGCTGCTCGTACTGCCGCCGGTTACGTCTTAGAGGCATCCTAAGTCTCAATATCGTCTATCAAAGTCATCAGATTCGTTTGGATAGCCGTACGGCGCTCGTACTCATGCTTTTAAACTCTCCCAGTTGCGCAACTAATATGCGCATAGCACACTTAGCCTTGTCTCATTGGCTTCGAAATTTTAATCATTTGCATATCTCTTACCAGACTACATTCTTGCCGAGTTTCGTGATTGTAGCTTGATTTCTTCTGGGTGCATATATTTTTTGCGACAGAGTGTATAATAGTAAACAGAAAATTTATGTTTTATATTAATATAAAATTCACCCATAAAAAGTAACAAAATATTAAAGTACCGTAAAAACCAGCGTATAGCACATACATGCACTGTCAAACTGCATTTTTAAATTTAAGGTATATCCCCCCTTTTTTACGAGGAAACTTGAAATGTACTTATGCAGTGCTCTTATGTTTTGAAGTCATTTATTGGCGGTATTACCTCAGGGTTTTGAAAAAAAAAAGTATACTTTTAAAATTACATCTCTTGAAGCTCATAAGGTATGAAAATTATTTAAAATAATAAACAATATATATATATATATATATATATATATATATATATATATATATATATATATATATATATATATACACTCCTGAAGTAAGTCTTACTATCTACGTTTTGCATCGAACTTAAATCTATAATGTGAATACTAGTAGGCTATAATTTATAATTATATTTTATTAGTTTAATGATTTTATTATAATGTTTAAATTCCTCCACATGTTATTCTTTCCTTTCCTCTTGGTACGTAGTATGGCAAACTACAGGTGAAGGTTGGCTAGCCCTAAAACTCGTTTAAACCTGCAATCTTGGTTCCTAAGGCCAGGAGTTTGTTATTGTACTACTCTGCCTATTTCTTCCTATTTAGTATAGTTATCTTAGGTTCTAACTATCTGTGTATATTTATGTTTCGGATTATATACATATATATATATATATATAAGTCTAATTTTTCTTATGATTATCCTTTTCTTAAGCTATCCTTTTCCGTGCAACTGTAAATTTTGATCTTACTTTTTTTGTGTTAAAAATGCGTGTTTTACGACGGATTTTACGGTTATTATATTTATAAGAAAAATGAAAAATTTTAATTTATTTAAGTATTACACATTTTCAATGCAATTATTTCCCAATTTTCTGCGGACCACCAGTTGGTAAAAACTGCGATATAGTTCAATTCGTTTGTCCTGAATGTGACTTTCTCTGAGATCGTCATATTTATTAGATTCGAATTAATACTGCAGAAACTATAATAAATTCAGACTAAATATAAATATTTTAATTCATTTTGTATGTTGTACAACATACAATGTCATATGCGTGTTATTATGAAATCATATTTGCACATCTTTCATAAGCAAGTAATATAAAAGAAAAATTTGAAGTCAATTCTTACTTAGCTCAATAAAGAAAATTTTTATTTTAGCTACTTTTTATTAAATAGTTACAATTAATATACATATGACAGATTCACAACATTAAGTGGTAATTGATTTTTATTAATTATCATTAATGTATCGTATTGTTATCCCAAACAATCGTGTATATAAAATTTCAGTTCAAATGAATGCTTTAAAACGTGAGAGAAAAAAATCTTTTTAAGTTTTGACACGAGTCCCCAAAAGGGTCGCTAAGTCGCCAAAAATGATGCCAACGTGGTTGAATTTGTAATTCTTTGAACAATTAGTTTTAATCAATTAAATTACTGTATTGTCATCCAAAATAATCCTGTATATAAAATTTCAGCTTGATTGAGCTCTTTAAAATGTATTTTATTAACGATAGAAAATTCCTCCAAGTTAAATAAATAAATAAATATATAAAGAGTGTGAGCTAATAGTAGGAATTGAATAAAGTGCGGGGGGATTAAATGTAGAATAAAAATAGAAAACTAAATTCACGTTCCTTTTGTATATTCATATTATATATGATTCATATTTAAAACATCATTTCATGCTAATAGTTTATGAATTATTATTTGCAAAATATAATCAGTTTTTTTTTAACTTTCAAAGCATTAATTCTTCGTATCACATTGCAAAAATTCCTCTTCGTCAGACCACACAAACCATTTCTTTCCAGACCATTTCCCCTTTTCAAGAACGAGAGTACCATTAGGGAAATGTTTCATACGATATTCCTAAATTCTTCCAGTCAAATACGAGACAACTATGAATCTTCATCTCTGTTGAATATTGTTAAAAGAAAGCCAGCAGTAATTCAATCTGTCTGAAAGATTTTAAGGCAATTTCAGTTCATTAATAACACTGAATTAAGTAGGAGTGAGTACTTAAATGCTCGGTCAGATCTTTTCAAGAATTTCAAAAAGCATTTTCTGAAAGTTATGGTCAATAAACCTCAACAAGCGTCTCCGTAAGATTCTGACATTCAAACTGAGTTATCGGGTTGTCATAAAGATTTACTCACAAAATTGGCTCTATCTTAAAAGTCGATTTGAATGTTTCAAATGAAAAGTTGAACTTGCATTTAACAAGATTTTCTTGTTGACTTCCTAATATTTATTTAGGATTTTTTTTTATTTAAATCTTCGGTTTTTTAATTCGACTGCTTGTTTTGTACCTACAAACAACCGCAGAATTGAGCAGAAAAAGTAAAGAAAAAAAAGTAGGGAAAAATGAATAAAAAAATGGCTGCGAAATCGTGCTCATTAAATGATCTTTTTGTCAAGGATTATTAAGCAAAAAAAAAGAAATCATTTGGCAATATTATTTAACATTCCAAATAAAATAACAATACAAGTAAAAACTGTATTTTTTTTCTAAGGCTTAAATAGAAATTGAATTCTCGTGGCTATTTATTTTCCAACAAATATATTTTAACGGATTGAATTTATTCCGTGATTAAGTTTTTTCAAATCCTACTCTATTAGTTCACTCTCTCCATATATATATATATATATATATATATATATATATATATATATATAATCAAATATAAAAGAATTTTTTTTTTCAATATATAATCATATACATATACATATACATATATATAAATTTATACACACATATACATATACATATAAACAAAAATATAAAATAAAATCATATACCTAAGTTTTAGTTATCTTAGGTATATAACTATATTATTATTTTTATATTTTTGTTTATGTATATGTATATGTGTGTATAAATTTATATATATGTGTATGTATATGTATATGATTATATATTGAAAAATTCTTTTATATTTGATTATATATATATATATATATATATATATATATATATATATATTTCAAATTTTCAGTCGTTTATAAAAACAAATTTCGTCCACTCAAGTTCAAATACATTTTTTAAACTTGTAGTGGATGACATTTGATGCTAATATAGTTTTTACAAACATTAATTCATTCGTTAAATTCAAAAATGAATAAATAGTAACCAACAAAAATAGTAACCCAACAGCATATATAGAAAGAAAAGTCGTTCGTTGTGTACCTGTAGCGCAACGGTTAGCGCGTTGGACTTCTAATCCAAAGGTCGTGAGTTCGAATACCACCTGGGATGGCCTAATTTCTGAGAATGTAATTTCTCTTTCACTATACTATTTTATTAAAGTAATTAAATTTAATTAGAGAACAAACAGTAACAAACAAACAAAAATAGTCCAGCGCTATACATAGAAAGAAAAATGAAAATTGCTTTTTATTTTGTTACTTAATATTGTGATTCTGTTATATGTATATACATATTTATATTAATTGTAACTATTTAATAAAAAGTAACAAAAATAAAAAAATTTCTTTGTTGACTTAAGTGTAGGAATTGAGTTAAAAAAAAATTTTATTACTTATTTTTTTTAGATTATACACTATAACATGTCCTTTTTGAGTTGGCCAATTCTAAATTTTTAAGCAGTATTATTAGATTTATTTGAGTTCAAAATTTCTATGCATCGGCTTTGAAAACATTTTAGCCAAACACACTTATGATGATGGTGTATATATGTATAAAAATTTGCGTTTTGAAACTTTAGAATACTTTATGCAGCGAAATTCTACGTTGGTTTACCGGTCAAATTTATTTATTTTGTTTTATTTCTCTTCATTTGAGTTAAAATATAAACTTAAATCATAGATTTCTAACATAAAAAATAATATGATTACATTTTACTTTTTCAACAAAAATTGGAAATTTTAAGGTACATCAGTCAATTCTAAATTCTGACAGATCCATTTCATGAAGCTAGGTTGTCAATAAATTCATATTTTAATATTTACTTTAAAATTTTGTTTACATATTCACATTACATTTGTCACATTCGAGAAATATGTTAAGATAATTAATATAAGTTAACATAGCTGAATTCCAATTAAACTTCTTGCTAGTAAACCTGTATTGAACTAGTTGCATATAATTTATGGTACTCTAATGGAAGGATAATTTAGAATATCATGGCCCATAACTGTACAGATTCACTATTTCATAAAGACCACTAGAGTAATTATATTAAAACTAATGGTCTTCCTGAAATAGTAATTAAATTATATTTATACCATGTATTTTATTTCTTTTCATTACATGTTTTACAACAAAACAGAATTTTGAAGTAATAATTCGATTTGACTGGTAAATTAACATTATTTTAATATTAACTATTCTCTCTTTGCAGAATCAAATAATGTTAAATGAATTTAATAATTCGAAACATTCAGAAATCAGGAAATCCCCACTCGCACATTTAATAATAATCGTAACGCGAAAACAATCTAACTTTCGCATCACACTTCTCAGGGATTTTGATCAATTGAATTCATCGACTAACAATTATCAGTCATTTTTTTTACAATAATTTACAAAAACAAATCTTGAGCCCGCAATCCATTTGTCAGTAAATGAATATTTGTCAATCACTGATTCAACTGACACCATTGATAAGTTTAAGAGAAACTAAATTCTTTTTAATTATTCAATGCGTAATTTTATAATGATAGAATATGCGTTTACCGGATATAACTGATTACCAGCTATACAGGGTGATCCCGAATTCATGATACAAACTTTAATAGGTACAGGACATTGTTAAATCTTTTATTGTACAGGAATGTATGAGTGCAAGTGCCGAGGTGAGGCGCAAACAGAGGAAATAAAAGAAAAGAGAAATGGAGTTATCGCTTGGTTGCGTTGCAGGTAGGGGGCAGTATATATCTAGTCACCTTTCAACATGATGCATCTCAGTAGGAGAAAGGGCCATTCGCAATTGTACTGACATCTACGATGGAAAACTTACCGAAAATGCAGACATGCATTACATCTACGGCCGTGCAAATGGTAACGGCAGATCTGCGCTACTAATGCATCATGAGTAGTTTCCTAAACGACGAATGCTGGATCACAGATTTTTTCAGCAATTTGCGCATTTACCTAAATGCCGATGTTTAGGCGTGATTGAACGGGTGTGGTGGACCAGTCCCTTTGCTACTCCACACAATCTCCCGATTTATCGAACCTCGATTACATTTTATGTGGGCATCTGAAGAATCTTGTTTATGCAACTAGGCTTTACTCAGAAGTGGATCTCGTTGCTCGAATATCTGAAGCTTCTGCACGTATGCGTTAAATACCTGGCATCTTTGAACGCGTTTGCCAGTCTCTCCACCGACGCTGCCAAGCATGTATCGCTACTCGTGGACTCAATTTTGAACAGTTATTGTAAACAATACACTTGTCAACTTGTCAACGAAGCTTTCAATAAACACTTTGTGTTTCCTTTCGTCTTTTACTTTTTGTGTTTGTGCATCATAGCGTCATTTCTTTACAATAAATGAATGATACATTGTCCTGTATTTACCTGTAAAGCTTGTACCACGAATTTGGGGCCACCTTTTATACCAAAGCATCATTAACTTAGTGACCAGATCACGAATTTCAACTATCACTACCCGTAAAAAGGAAAATTTGAATCCTGATTCTGTTTGAGACTGATATTCGGACGAACAAAGGTTGTTGCAGAGAATCCGAACTGACCCTGGGATAATTAGGTGGCGAAATTGCTTATCAGCCTTCGTCATCTAGCAATAATATAAAATAGCGAAATCCGCAATAGCCCAATGCTTAATTTTAGTGAAATATTCATTAGAGAAGACACTAGGTGAAATATACTAATAATGATTCGTTGATTATGTTAATTGTGTGTTTACCCGAGTTCCAGATTTGTTTCTTCAAAGTATTCGCATAGTTTTAAACAATTTAAATTATAAACAGAAAAAAAGAGATGGCATACACAACTTTTCTGCAACAACTTATGATTATTAAAGTCCTTTTTGTCTAAATATATAAATATGTTATGATAAAACATTTTAAACATACTTATCGTTACAAAATGTGTAATTTACTTAACTTCTGTTATCAGCGGGTACGAGGTTATTTTTTAAAAAATTCTTCCATTTTTTATGATATCAATTATTAGGTAAATTCAATAACACTGGAAAATAGTAATCTAAGTTATATATAAATAATTCTTTTGAATTCTTTTCTGTTCCTTTAAATAGTTTACATAGAAAAAAAAAACACGAATCTCATTTTGATGAGAACTATGAATAAACTTATTTCAGAGTCTGATTTTAATTATTTTTTAAGTTACAAAAAGTAGAAGAAACAACTTGGTTTCCTTAATAGCCGAATAAAGTCTAAAATTTTCTTAAATAAATACACAATTCTTATTCATTAAAAAAGAAATTTTCGTTGACAAAATGTTTGTGCAGTTTGTTTATTTTCAGAATCTTGTTATGGCAAAATTTATCTATCAATTTTAAATCAAATATTTATTTCTAAAAACTTTTGTGTTTTTCTTATAAAATCTTCATATATATATATGTGTGTTTAAATCTATTAATATTAAATGATAATTTTATAACCAATAAATTGTTACACAAAATATGTATAGTCTTAACGCTATAAGGGATATACTTGATGTAAGTGATGTAATAAAATTTATTGAATTGGATATCTAACGAAAAAAATTATTTTTTGCATTTTTATTTGAAAAACTGATAAGCTGATGGACTAAAAACTGTTAATAATCTTTTAACACTTAATGCCTAAGACTTTAAAGTGCTAATTAAAATTAATATAATTTATTTTTAATTATATTAAAGCATTAAAAACTTTCAACTGTTACTTGACAATTTAGAAACGATATTAAAAATATTTAATTGACATCTTAAGAAAACCCATATGCATTTAATATAAATATTTTTTAAACAAATGGTAAAAACAAAATAGATTTCAAAAACCTGGTAGCATTTCATAGAATAGTCTTATTATTTTTGTCATTCAACAATTTTGTATTAAATTAAATGGTTACAAAAAGAGAAAAACAAAAATATCGTTTTCAGGAATTTTAATGAATTCAAGCGAAATGAAATTTTTGCTATTTTTTTCATGAAAAAAGAACATTATTTTCATTTCAAGTACACGAGGAAAAAGTGCATGATATTATATAACATTAAAAGTTTATTCAAATTCTCCATTTATTTTTGCACAATAAGCTTTTCTTGATTTTTCCGCATACTAGTTGTTGCATCAGACAAACAAAACATTCAAAACAATTGACAACTAAAAATACTCTTCAGTTTTAACTCAAACATTATTATTATTATTAACAGTGACATTAAAAATTGCAAAATTGCAAGAAAAGTGCAAACAACTTTTTCCAGTTTAATTTTAAATACAAATTTTGGAAGTGGAACTTATTTCAAAAAAATCGTTTGCATGCGTGGGTGTTTTATTACATAAGACGCGTGATTTTGAACATTTTCTTACCTTACGCAGCGAGGTTGCAGCTTCGTTCCTGGGGCGCTTGAAACATAGTGAGCGACCAGAACAAGAGACCGCCCTTCATGCGTGCGACGCCCTCTTGCGCCGGGGCTCACGAATAAAAAAAAATGCCACTCAACTCCGTAAAATACAATATCGAGACATAACGTTCCAATTTATTGTAAGAGTCTGGCTTCTTATAGTTGTGGCGAATCACTGTATATAAATAAAAGAAAGTTGTTTCATTATTATTTTTTGTAATACATTTAGAAATGCTTTAACATTATACTTAAGCAATAATTTTGAGGGGGAAAGAGAAAAATAATAAGGTTTTCTGTAAAAACGTGCTCTAGTACTTTTTTTCTAGTTGATTTGCTTAAAAAGATTTTGCTCTATACGAATATTGAAACAAGTTTCAATATGAAACTAAATTTTTATGCATTTATTGCTTTGTGAGTGATTCTCAGTATGTTGTTCGCATGAAATAATAAAGATTTTAATTTGAATTTTCAATCTATTTCTAAAAAATATTTCAATTATTTTTTTTAAATTTTTTTAAAAGATGAAGAAATTTGCATGTTTTTCAAATTCTTTCTATTGCTATGAGCACTTACATTTTTCTAATGATTGAAGAATTTTAAAGTCCTGCTATCAATAGAAATCACAAAGATATTTTGTTCCTTACAGAAAAAAAAACCTTTCTTTTGTTCATGTAGTCGAATAACAAATCTTATCATTCGATAATATTG